TAATAGTAGCAGTGGTAGTAGTAGTGGTGGCCTTAGCAGAGAAGTCGTAGCGAAAGTACTACTACTAGTAGTAGTAGTAGTAGTCGTAGAAATAGTCGTAGTGGTAGTGGTAATGGTAGCAGTGGTCGTAGCAGTGGTAGTAGTAGTCGCACTGCCAGCAGTTTAAGTAGTAGTAATAGACAGTAGCCGTAGTGAGAGAGGTAATCGTAATCGCAATAATTGTCGTAGAAGCCGTCGTAGTAGTAGCACTGGTAGTAACAGTAGCAGCAGCAGTATCCGCATTGAGTAGTACCATGCGTAATGCGATTCTTGGTGGTAGTAGCAGTCGTAGTAGCAGTAATAGTGTAGTAGTAGTGGTCGTAGTACTAAGTGGTAGTAGTAGTCGCCGTCGTATTCGTAATAGTGGTGGAAGTGATGAAAATACAAGTAGTGGTAGTAGGAATACTCGTAGTAATACTATGAAAAAAAAACTAGTAATAAAAAAAAGCCGACATAGTCGTAGTAGTCGTAGTAGTAGTAGAAGCACAAACCATAATAGTAGTCGTACTAGTAGTAAAAGTAATAGTCGTCGTAATAGTGGTGGTAGCCATAGTCGTAGACGCAATGGCAGTCGCAATCGCAATCGCAGGCGTAGTAGTAGTGTTGGTAACAGTACTTATGACTGCCGAAAAAATGTAACGGTAGCCCTAGTAGTCGCAGAACTAGCAGTCGCAATACACGTACTAGTAGTAGTAGTAGTAGTAGTAGTAGTAGTAGTCGTAGCAATAGCAGTAGCAGTGGTAGTAGTAGTAGTAGTAGTAGTAGCAGTAGAAGTAGTAGTGGTGGTAGAAGTAAGTAGTAGCAATAGAAGTAGTAGTAGTAGGACTAGTACGAAGTAATAGTCGTAGTAGTCGTAGTCGTAGTCGTAGTCGTAGTCGTAGTCGTAGTCGTAGTCGTAGTAGTAGTAGTAGTAGTAGTAGTAGTAGTAGTAGTCTTAGTCGCAATAGTAGTAGTAGTAGTAGTAGTAGTAGTAGTAGTAGTAGTAGTAGTAGTAGTAGTGGAAGAAGTAGTGGTTGTCGTACTCGCAGTAATAATAAAACAAACTGAAGTAGTCATAACAGTCGCTGTAGTCGTGGAATATTAGTAGTAGTAGTAGTAGTAGTGGTAGTAGTAGTAGTAGTAGTAGTAGTAGTAGTAATAGTAGTAGTAGTAGCAGTAGTAGTAGTAGTAGTAGTAGTAGTAGTAGTAGTAATAGTAGTAGTACTAGTAGTATTAGTAGCAGCCGCCGTAGTAGTAGCAGTAGTGGTAGTAGCAGTAGTTGCGGTAATCGTAGTAGCAGCAGTAGTAGTAGTAGTAGTAGTGGTAGTAGTAGTAGTAGTAATAGTAGTAGTAGTAGTAGTAGTAGTAGTAGTAGTAGTAGTAGTAGTCGTAGTAGTAGTAGTAGTAGTCGTAGTAGTCGTAGTAGTAGTAGTAGTAGTAGTAGTAGTAGTAGTAGTAGAAGTAGAAGTAGAAGTAGTAGTAGTGGTCGTAGTAATAGTCATCGTCGTAGTCGTAGTCGTAGCAGTAGTCGTGGTAGTCGTCGTCGTCGTCGTCGTCGCTACCCTACTCCTCTTCCTTCCCTCCTCCTCCTCATCAGGAGCAATTAAAATTGTAAGATGAATGGCAATAGTAAGGATAGGGGGAGAGGGGGGGAGGAGGGGGAGGGTTGAGAGGAAGATAGGAATGTCTGCGGTCCCCAAAGGGCCTGACCGAACGCCAATCACGGCGCGGGCAAAACACGCCCTGGCACACTACACTGTCATCACCGTCTCCCTTTGAAAAGCAGGGCAAACGTGCACAAAGACCAGTCCTATTCACCGCCGAGTGAAAAGGGGGGGACCAAAACTAAAAAGCTCCCGAGGTTATTTTCGGCCTCTGGGAGCCCTCGTCGGGCCCCAGGGCCGTCAACAGAAACTACAGCTGCACTCAGGATGAAAAAAACGGCACCGGTGAATGGGTCGAGACTTCTGGGGGTCCACGCTGTGGAACAAATCGTGGCGTCGGGGATCTGGGTTGTCCTCCATCGTCCTCCTCGTTCTCGTCTTCCTCGTCGTGCATCTCCTCCTCCTCCTCCTCGTCCTCCTCCTCCTCCTCCCTATCCCCATCCTCCCTCCTCCTCCTCCGCCTCCTCCTCCGCTTCCCTCCTCCTCCTCCTCCTTCTCCTCCTCCCTCGTCCACCCACATCTTCCTGCTGCTCCTCCTACACCTTCCCCTTCCTGTCGCTGTCGCTGTCGGCATCGAAGTCCGAGGTCGGACGCTGGCATCCATCTTTTTCCTCCTCCTCCTCCTTCTGTTCCTGCCCCCCCGCCTCGACTTCCTCCTCGTGCCTCATTGTCTTTCTGCCTCGTCGCCATCCGTCAACTCCTAATCATCGAAATCGACCAGGTTGAGCCAGATTGGCACAGCGGGAACTCTCGGAGACGACCAGGTGCTGCCTGGATGCGTCCTACAAGCGCGCCCCGGAGGCCGCTGGCAGCCCGTGACACAGCCCCTGGAGGCCCCGCGCGCCTCGTGAGCCACCTGCGACGGTAGGTACAGTGAAGGCCAGTCCACAAGAAACCTTCCACAAGAAGCCCAACCCTGAGACCCCAGGACGTCCATGGTTTTTTGGTGTGGGAGCGTCACGCTTCCGATCGCAAGACCCTTAACCCCCAAGAAACCCAGGTCACCCTGGAGGCGAGTAGGGTGCTTCTTGGTATGGGCCCCCACTGTACGTCGACCCAAATTCCCGACTTTGGTGGGCTGCCGCGTGGACCCAAATTTTCAATCCCAACTCGGGATATGCGATGGCGGGCGTCCAGTCTCGACAGGGCTGCGTGGGACTAGCTCCGTTGGGGTGTATCCCCGACTTCCCCATTGTTGCCAGGCCGACCTGATGTTTGATGGGGGGGGCGCTCAGGCATCGGGGGCGCGAAACCGCCTGCGACCCGAGTCCTCCAGGAACCTCTTTGACCAGTGTTCTCCACATAGGGCGATGGGCAACAGCAAACCTCAGGTCAGGCATGTCTGTATATTTTAAAGCTGATACAAACAACAACAACGACAACGACAACGACAACGACAACGACAACAACAACAACAACAACAACAACAACAACAACAACAACCACAACACCAACACCAACACCAACAACAACAACAACAACAACAACAACACCAACACCAACAACAACAACGACAACAACAACGACACCAACAACGACAACAGCAGCAAGAGCAACAACAACAACAACCACAACAACAACAACACCAACACCACCACCACCACCAACAACAACAACAGCACCAACAGAAACAACAACAAACACGTCCCCAGACGATTCGACTAGTTTAAAAAGATTCCTCATATGTTTCGATAGTCCTCCTGTAGAGGGACACGCCCGACTGAAAGCAGACCACGACCCGCGACGTCAGTATTCTGTCGACCCCAACAGAAATCTCGACCCATCCCGAAGGACCGGACTGTCGTCTCAAACCGTTCTTTTGACGGTCCCAGGGCCTGGCGAGGGGCTGGAAATACAGTGGGGGCATCAAGAAACCTTCCACGAGAACGTGGGAACGTCACGATTCCGATCGCGACACCTTCCGAACCCACAGAGGGTGGTTCTTAGCATGGGCCCCCACTGTAGCCAGAAACCGTCCGTCGCGTTTCTTTCTCGACGTGAAGGGGTCTGGGACAACTGCGGCGTCCTTGGGGGGCGGGCCGATGCCCTTCGCAGGCGCCGGCACACATGCTGGAGAGGCTGGTTTCCTTTCTAGATTCTGCCAGTTTACTTGCACGGAGTGGGCGGGCGTGGCGAAGCTGGGAATGAAATCTAGACTTCACGCAAGTCGGGCGGGTGGCAATGGGAGGTGACCTAATCGGGGGGTGACGGAAAGGCCCCTTTTGGGCCCCTGCTGGCTCCAAAAAAGGGCGTTCAAGTGCACTTTTGGCTCCTTTTCCTCAACCCCCAGTTAGGTCACCCCCAGTTACCATTCGCCCGAACAAGTCGGGAATCACTTGCACGCCTGTGCGGCCCAGCGCTGGACCCGAGAAGGCGGCGGAGAGGGAGACGGGGAATTCCATGCATAGAGGACTGGCAGACTGCATCTCCGCGACAAGTCTTCAGAACCCCATAGGGAGAAACTATTGTTTCCTTTGGCCTTATTGAAGGACTGGGGCCCCACCAATAGGGAGTCATCCATTCTTTATTTCCGCGGCACCCGCCGCACCACAACAGGAGGAGCAGGAGGAGGAGGAGGAGGAGCAGGAGGAGCAGGAGGAGGCGGAAAGGAGGAGGGGAAGGGGGAGAGGGGCGAGGAGGGGGAGCAGGTTTTAGGACCAATCCTACTCACCGCCGAGTGAAAAAGGGGGGGATCAAAACGAAAGACCTCCTGAGGTTTAGTAACGAAAGACATCCTGAGGTTCAGCATAAACTTGAGGTCCGCGCGGAATTCTCGGATCGGGGCTGGTCCCCGAGCTCCAGGCTGTATGGAGGATGGCGGGCTGTCGGCCCTCAAAAAGGTCTGACAAGGAATCGCTCTGTCCAACTCCGTTTCGCTCCTCCGTTCTCTCCCTCTTCGCCACTCCTCCCCATCCTCCTGTTGTTCCTCCTTCTATTCCTTGATGGGCCAAGTTTCCACCACCACTACCATCTGCAGGACGTGGGGAAAGGGGAGGATGGGGAGGTCCTCTTCCTCCTCCTCCCCCTCCCCCTCCTCCTCCTCCTCCTCCTCCTCCTCCTCCTCCTCCTCCTCCTCCTCCTCCTCCTCCTCCTCCTCCTCCTCCTCCTCCTCTCCTCCCTCGCCTACATATGGTAGTGGTGGAACATCGGCCCATCATTCCTCCTCCTGCTCCGAAAGTTTCCCTTGATGCCGATGCCTCGAGCTTTTTCTCGAAAGCAGGACAGCTTGCCCGAGTCTACAGGAAAACAGCAGCCCCTGATCTGTCAAGCAGTGGCCGACGCAAGTGGCGGGCAACGGGGCGGCGCAGCCGCCGCGGCCTGGCCCGTGCTGGGCCAGCCGCTGCTGGAGCTCCGCGCGGAGGGCCCGGATGGCCTCTGCCTTGAAGCCGTCCTGAGTCTCCTGCGCGGGTTCTCTAGGAAATGTCGTTGTAGACAAGAGCGTTCCACTACGCGTCTGTCGAAAGAAGTATGTAAGAACATGAAGTAGGAAGGCGGATCAAGTAGGCTGGGTTCAGGCCCTACCAGAGAAGAACATAACACATCAAAACGATGCCGTTTCTTGAAGTAGGAAGGCGCTAGAAGTAGACTGGGATCTGGAAATCCAAACATACCTACTTTCAACGACCGACAGGTACTCACAAAGTAACTAATCCCAAATGGCCTGGATCCGCCGCGGGAAATTCAAACATGTGTTTTCGCTCGGACGTCTGCGAGTAGACACTTTGCGAGTAGTGGAACGCGCTCGGTGATCTTTGGGTACTCCCGGAACCCCTCGCGAATGGTGAGCAGATCACGACGGGACGTTGTCTTTTATTCCTGGAGCGTTTCGCTGATGAGGGCTCTAATAAAGGCGCCAAACAAACAACAACGACACCATCACCCACAAAAACAACAAAAGCAGGAACAACAACAACCATATCAACAGCAATAACAACAACTACACCACCAACAACAGCAGCAGCACAACAACAGCAACAATCATTTCAATACTGTTCACTCGTATCTGCTAGCGCGACTTGGGAATAAGTTGTGAGGGGGACCCAAGCGAGAACCGTTGTTGTTGTATGCAGCTGCCCAACAACACTGTTTGGTGACACCCTACTTTATCTTGTAAAAAAGCGTGCGGAACCTGGAAAACCACTTTAACTGAAAGGTACGATGGTTACAGGAGGGGGGATCAATAATCTGCGTTTTTTAGAAACGAGGATGCAGCAGCAGCAACAACAACAACAACAACAACAACAACAACAACAGCAACACCAACAACAACAACAACAACACCAGCACCACCAACAACGACAACCACACCACCACCACCAACAACAACACCAACACCAACATCGCCAACAATAGCAACAACGCAAACTCAAATGCTGGTGTGAACGGGCGGGGTCCTCCAATTCGCCCCAGGGCTGCGGTCCGGGTGTACCCACACCGCAGCCCTAGGACGCCTGGTCTGGCAGCCGTTTTGCCTGAGACTTCACCTCGGGCCTTTCAGGAATAGTGCTCTCGCCCCGTCCCCAGCTCCCCCGTGGGCCCAGACGGCCACGCTCCCATGCAAAAGCATGCACTACGGTGCACGTGGCCGTGCTCCCCCCCCTGTCCCGGCTGCTCTCTCCCGCCCCTCGCCAGCGTCAGGCTCCAAAGGGGCCGCCGCACCACGCCCCCTCTCCTCCCTCCCTCCTCCTCCTCCTCCTCCTCCTCCTCCTCCTCCTCCTCCTCCTCCTCCTCCTCCTCCTCCTCCTCCTCCTCCCCTCCTCCTCCTCCTCCTCCTCCTCCTCCCCCCCCCTCCCTCTCTCTTCCTCCTCTTCTTCCTCCTCCTCCTCCTCCTCCTCCTCCTCCTCCTCCTCCTGGCTCAAGGTAGCATTTCACTCCTGGTCAGGTCCAGGAGCTTGGGGCTCGAACCCGGGCGCCCTTTTCGCTGGCTCCTCCTCCCTGCATGCGAAGCAATGGCGAGCCCGCAGTTGCGCGATGGGAGTTCACGGTGCCCGTCGGGTGCGAAGTGGAGTTCAAGTGCGTCGTCAGGGCCTGCGGGCCCGCCGCTCCAGCCTCCCCCAGGGGACCTCCGTGCTCTTCACGAACCGCCGCTTTCATGGCTGGGGGCATGGAGCCTCCCAACGGATGCTTCGGGCAAAGTTCTGTTGGGTCCAACTACGTTTCTCTCGTACCAGTACCTGCGGTGCCAGTACTACACCTACGCCACGTTGCAGCTGCAGGATCCCAAGGCCTTGACCGAGGAGCCCAGCAGCACGGGGCGGAGGAGTCGCAGGCGCCACAGTACGCGGGACGTGAAGGACAAGAAGGACAAGAAGGACAAGAAGAACAAGAAGGACAGGAAGAGCAGCGTCAAGACGGGCAACTACGTGGGCCAGTACGCGCAGAAGATGTCCAAGGCGGCGGACCTGCCACAGCCTGCGGCGGTGGTGCCCAAGGGGGAGTACATGTACACGGAGAGGGCGAAGGCGACTCCGCCTCTGCCGCCAAGGTGTGCGTAGGCGACCCCATTGACAACCAGGAGCGTTACGACGGCGGCGAGCTGATCGAGCACGTGGTGGACGGCAAGGTTGGCGGCCTGTCGGTGGGCGCTCCCTTTTTCTTCAACATTGCCGCTGATGATCGTGATGTTTGTGACCTGCGGGGACCAGAGCTTCCGTGGAAAAGTGGAGGTGAAGGGGACTCACAGGTTGGAGACGAACTTCTCGGTCAGGAACGAGGCCTACTGCAAGAAGTACTTCTCAATTCATTACCTGACGATGGTGATGGCAAGGACTTTCACAGCATGGACAAGCACGATAATATTCCCTCGCCTGATGCGCGTGCTCCGAGTACGACATCCTTTTCTGCGAGTTCGGTTCCGACGTCGGTGACAGACGTCCGTGGTCAGCTGAAGGCTGTCGTTGCCTTCATCAAGTTCAAGTCCAAGCACATTCCCGTGCGCCAGTGGAGGCGCCTGGAATCAAGGTTTCGGGCGGCCTGGATGCAAGCCTCAACGGATCTTCGTGAGGCGTACGGCGCGGTGGTGTGCACGGGAGATTTCGATTTCAGCGAGCTCGTCGACCTGTTCGAGGCTGGCGTGGCTCATGAAAGTACCAGTGCGAGTTCGAGCTGATGGTCCTCTTCACCTTTTTCCTCAATGCGACGGGCTTCATCTTCAACTGGTACATCGCCGTCCGTGTTTCTACTTCGTGAAGTGCTAGTTGCAATTCCTCATCTGAGTCCGCCCTTCACTCACCCGCCTCGGAGTGTTGTTGGGTGCAGAATACAGTGAAAAATCCTCCTCCTCCTCCTCCTCCTCCTCCTCCTCCTCCTCCTCCTCTTACTCCCCTGTCACGTGGCATGTCCCTGCCCCGCCTCTTCACCGGCTGCTGTTGATCTGGGCGCTCTGCCAGGGTATACTCTGCCACCGTCGGCCTCTCGGGGCCGCCCTCTTCGCTGGCCCCTGCGGAGTCCGCCAGACAGACCACGCGGGATGCACAGCTGGCCCCAGGAACGGGTCGAGACCTTCGGGGGTCCGCGCTGTGAGCAAAAATTTTAGCGTCACCTCCTCCTCCTCCTCCTCCTCCTCCTCCTCCTCCATCTCCTCCTCCTCCTCCTCCTCCTCCTCCTCCTCCTCCTCCTTCTCCTCCTTCTCCTCCTCCTCCTCCTCCTCCTTCTCCTCCTCCTCCTCCTCCTCCTCCTCCTCCTCCTTCTCCTCCTCCCCTTCCACTGGTGCGTCGAGGGTCTGGGAGAAGAATCTTTGCAACATTCGGGCAGGAGGAGGGAAGCCTGCAAAATGGGGTCCAGGCAGATGGGGTCGGATGATCGCGCTGGAGGTGCATCGGCGCCACCAGCGTGGAGAAAATAGCGCTCCATGTCGAGCCGCATCGCAGATGTATCGTAAATGCGGCGCGATCCTCCGATCCCAATCGACTCGTACCCGGTTTGGGAGGCCTCGAGTTCGAGGGGACTCGGTCGGCATTGTGGGCCGGAGCAGGTGCGAGGTCCCAGAGAGCTGCTCGGCAGTCGAGGATCGAGGAGGCCTCTCGGGCTCGGGGTTCGAGGCTCGAAGGCTTTTCTGCTCGGCATGCTCGGCGTCTGGAGGCCTGTCGGTTCCCAGCGGCCGCCAGAAGTCGGCCTGGCAGCGAACAGCTGGCTTGGGTGCACCCCTGGAGGGATCGGCTGTAGGTTTTAGGAGGCAACTACTGGGAGATCCTCGTCGGAAGGCTCAGGGAGAATCAAGCCCCTGTGTGGGACTGTTACGCCCGATTAGGTCGCGGATTAAGCGGGATTCAACGGGATTGAGCGGGAATAAGCCGGATTAAACAAGATTAAACATGAGTAGGTCGGAGTTCGGACCAGGGCAAAATTAGCCTGGCGAAGGACCCAACCATATGCAGCTGCGAGTACCGCACGGATATGAGACGAAGGAGGGGGGGCACGCAAACTAGGCCCCTCTTCTCATAGGCACCGCGCCACTGGGGCCTTCGGTGGAGCTCCCTATGGGGCCACGAAACGTGTGAAGGGTGTGCCGAAATGGGTGGTGGGGAGGCATGCGGACCCTGCCACTGGGGCCTTCGGTGGAGCTCCCTATGGGGCCACGAAACGTGTGAGGGGTGTGCCGAAATGGGTGGTGGGGAGGCATGCGAACGCAGCCACTGGGGCCTTCGGTGGAGCTCCCTATGGGGCCACGAAACGTGTGAGGGGTGTGCCGAAATGGGTGGTGGGGACTGGGGCCTTCGGTGGAGCTCCCTATGGGGCCACGAAAAACGGTCAGGGGTGTGGGGCCACGAAACGTGTGGGTGGTGCATGCGAACGCAGCCACTGGGGCCTTCGGTGGAGCTCCCTATGGGGCCACGAAACGTGTGAGGGGTGTGCCGAAATGGGTGGGGGCATGCGAACGCAGCCACTGGGGCCTTCGGTGGAGCTCCCTATGGGGCCACGAAACGTGTGAGGGGTGTGCCGAAATGGGTGGGGGGCATGCGAACGCAGCCACTGGGGCCTTCGGTGGAGCTCCCTATGGGGCCACGAAACGTGTGAGGGGTGTGCCGAAATGGGTGCGGGAGGCATGCGGACCAGCCACTGGGGCCTTCGGTGGAGCTCCCTATGGGGCCACGAAACGTGTGAGGGGTGTGCCGAAATGGGTGGTGGGGAGCATGCGAACGCAGCCACTGGGGCCTTCGGTGGAGCTCCCTATGGGGCCACGAAACGTGTGAGGGGTGTGCCGAAATGGGTGGTGGGGAGGCATGCGAACCACTGGGCCTTCGGTGGAGCTCCCTATGGGTGCTGGGGCCTTCGGTGGAGCTCCCTATGGGGCCACGAAACGTGTGAGGGGTGTGCCGAAATGGGTGGTGGGGAGGCATGCGACCCTGCCACTGGGGCCTTCGGTGGAGCTCCCTATGGGGCCACGAAACGTGTGAGGGGTGTGCCGAAATGGGTGGTGGGGAGGCATGCGAACGCAGCCACTGGGGCCTTCGGTGGAGCTCCCTATGGGGCCACGAAACGTGTGAGGGGTGTGCCGAAATGGGTGGTGGGGAGGCATGCGAACGCAGCCACTGGGGCCTTCGGTGGAGCTCCCTATGGGGCCACGAAACGTGTGAGGGGTGTGCCGAAATGGGTGGTGGGGAGGCATGCGAACGCAGCCACTGGGGCCTTCGGTGGAGCTCCCTATGGGGCCACGAAACGTGTGAGGGGTGTGCCGAAATGGGTGGTGGGGAGGCATGCGAACGCAGGAGGGAGGAGGGCGAGGAGAAGGAGGAAGAAGGAACGCGGGGACCGTTTCTTCAAAACGAGGACCCAACACCACAGGATGGTTGGGAAAAAAGAATTTGACCTTCCAGGAGTTGCATCCGAACAAGTCCTGGGGCCGCAGGAGGGCAGCTCGGGTCCCTCGGGGATCCTCTGACCCGGGTCAATCCAGACCCGGGTCAGCAGGACACCAAAAACTGCAATGCAGGAAAAAAAAACTGCAACGCAGGTCCTCGCAAACCCGGGTCAGCCAATACGCGCGGCCGCCTCGCGGCCACGAGCGGCTCCCTGACCCGGGTCAGCCAGAGGGGGCCTTCGCAGGATCCTGCAGGATCCGGCGCCCTGGCTGACCCCCGTTTGCACTGACCCCCGTCTCGAGGCCCAGAGGCTTCATGGGGTCCGCTGGAGCCCATCGGGGCTTCGTAAACGCGGGTTTAGCTAAACGGGGGCTTGGGCTTTTCCGTACGCCCCCGTTGACTGTGCCCACGTCTACGGCGCCCAGGGACCCAGAAACGGGGGCATACAGTGGAGGCCAGTCCACAAGAAACCTGCCACCAACCCTGAAACCTCAGGACGTGAGTCTGTTTGTTGACAGTCCCCGGGCCAGGAGACAGGCTACAGTCTGGCTGCTGCAACAAGGGACCCTCAGGAACGCTAAGCAAGTAGTCAAGCCCCTTTTTGGCACCACAAACTCCTGGGCGCACGAGCAAGGATAGAGGGACTACCACGGAATGATCTGAGGAACAGCGAGTCCCCTCCGAACCACACGCGGTCCTTGTTTCATCGTCTTGTGCAGGAGACAAAAAACTGGTGACAGCCCTCGTCACCGGTCGATTCATACCTCCCAAGCCGTCCGATATTGGCCCCGCAGTGCCGACCCTGACACCAGGGCTGGGCCGTCGTCCGGGGTCGTTTGCCGACGGTCCGGGATCTGGCGAGGGCCCCTCGAGGCCGAGAACGCTCCAAAGACCTGCCGTTCGGATTCATCGGACGCTGCCACGATACAACATGCGGACGACTCATCGCCTTTCTCTGCCAATACCAAAAACACGCCCGCCTCTGGCGCCAAACAAAAATGAATAACAGCATTCCTGCTTGCATGGGGGGCATCTCGGCAACCAGCAGCGAATCGCTTCGGTTCACGACGCAGGCGAGGAGGAGGAGGAGGAGAAGGAGATGGAGGAAGAGGAGGTGCAGGAGACGTCTCGGTTTTTCGCTCCCCTTGATGGTGCAGCGGCAGTGCCATGGGGGGGTCACCACCAGAGAAGTCGCCCGCTCCTTGAGGAAGCGCCACAGAAAACATGAGAACAAATCTCCCTCGACCTTCGTTCCTGGATTTTTCAATTTCCAGGAGGGCCTGATTCAAGGGGCCCAAGGACAAACAACTGAATACACACCAATCCCAGAATTCCGGTATCGTTTTGTATATTTTGTGGATTTTCATCTTCCCCCCCACTTGCCATATTTGGCTATATTCTCCTGGGACTCGAGAATTTCTGTCTGTTTGTGTTCCTTTCCTGACTGATGAACCCCCTGGTGGGGACCCCCTCGGCACTGCCCGGTGCCTGTGCTCCGCGATCTGCTGCTCATCCCTTGAGCACTCCTGCAGGCCTTCCGGGAAGCACTCACACAACGAAGGGGTGGCCAAACAACAAAAGGAACTGTTCTTGCACCATACGAGCGGGTGGATCAGAACAAGACCGATTCAGCCAGAAATGTTCCAACTGCATTTCGTGCAAACCACAACACGTGATTAGAAAAGTCTTTGGGAGAGGCCTCCAGGATAGATGGGGTCGGAGGCATGCAACGCATTGCCGATGCATCGCCGATGCATTGTCGACGTCGGCGATGCATCGGCGACGTCGACATGGGGAAAATCGGGCTCCACATCGAGCCGCATCGCCGAGGCATCGGCGATGCGACGCGACCTTTCGGCCCTGTCTACCCCGACGCCATCTGGGAGGCCCAGATTTGGTGAGCCTACGTGGGGAAACCAACAGGTACCGATACCGCTGCTCCGCGGACCTCTCCTGCGACGCGTTCTGACCTGAATTTCGAGGCGAAATCGTCGGTGGCGACGAGGGCCTCCAAAGATAGGCTCGAAAAAAGGCAGAACGAGGGAAGGGTAGCGGCATGGGTGCCTCTTCCTCCTCTGACATCTGCTCCGACCCCATCTGATCAACGATCAGAAACGAGTCTTACGCGAGATGACGTAGCGACGTTACGCCGCAGCTTCCGCGGGCCTCCCGGGAGTCGAATAGGGGATCGACTACAGAATTGACTTGGCCCAGATCTGATTTTCACCCCGAATCTAAGAAACAGACACGTCGAATGTCCCGTAGATCTCGCCGCGCCACAAACGAGGGCACTGACGCGCGATCCTACGCGGGCATCTTGCGCGCCACTGTCGGTGAAGACGAACCCCCGTTTTCCTTCGTCGCCCATCTGGGTAGGAACAAGGAAAGGCGACACCAACACCACCAGGGCGAGGAGATTCGAGGAGGCGAGGGGGGTTCTCCCTGGTGGTGTGGTCCCCCTCTCGCTCGAGACATATCCATCCTCCAGCTCGGGGAGGCATCGTGGACCTCCTCGCTGGAGGTGGGCCCCCTGTTGGCTCCCCTCTCTCCGATCTGGGAGGCCCAGAGCTGGTGGGCCTCAGTGCACAGCCGCCCCGCCCCGCCGCCTTGGCGCACGGCGCCCGGCCGCTGGCGCGGCCTGCCGTCCACTCCTCGTGCAATTTGCGGTCTCGCGCGTGCATGCTTCGCCGGATGATCCAGGAGGAGGAGGAGGAAGAGGAAGAAGAGGAGGAGGAGGAGGAAGGAGGAGGAGGAGGGAGGAGGAGGAGAAGGGAGGAGGAGGAGGAGGAGAAGTCGCTCATCGATGGCCCTCGCCGAGAAAAAGTGCACCCGCCCGAGCGATGCCGAGGCGGAGGCGCGGCGGCAGCGGCGGGCTCTCCTCGGCGACGACGGCCACGCCGCTCGAGGAGGACGCCGCGGCGCCGCAGCCCGCAGGGCCTGCCGCTCTCGGAGGCCGCGCTGGCGGGGCGCCGCACACGATCGCCGCGCGCGGGGGCGGCGCGGGCGAGGAGTGCGGGCGCCGATGGTTAGCAGTAGTGAGGACCCCCAACCCTGTGGGAGGGGACCTGAGCTAGGATATCCAAGCACATCAAGGATAACAGGGGTCTCTTCTGCAAATGTATCGGACCAAACCGCCTGGAATTCGTATTCCTCTTGCGAAAACGGGGGCGCGATGAGGTTACGTAATCATCGTGCTATGAGGGTTACAATGGAAACCCATGCCAAGAAACACCCTGCTTGCCTCCTGGGTTTTTTGGGTTTCGATAGTTTCGCCATGGAAAGCGTGACGTTCCGACACCAAAAATCAATGTACGTCCTGGGGTTCCAGGGTTAGGTTTAGTGTGGAAGGTCTCTCGTGGTCGGGCCCCTATTGTAGGGGGGTGTTGCTCCCCCAAGAGTCGAGGGCAACCATCTTCGCGCTTCGCGCTCCGCGAAGGGCGAGCATCTGAGGTGGCTGCGATGAGCGTAGAGGTGGGCTACCCATAGAGGAGCAGGAGGACGAGCAGGAGGAGAATGAGGAGGAGTATGAGTATGAGTATGAGTCAAGCTAGCCAGCTCGAACGAGTGAAGCATGGCATGCCCATTCCCACCCGCCTTCCCACCACATAAGGAACAGTGCTGGCGCAACTGGAGACCGAAATCTGATCTGAAAGGTGGTTTGCCACAGCTGATGCAGCCGCGATGGCGGCTACCGATAAGAATCCCTGGCGCGTCTCAAAGACTGCGCTGGTATTAGAGCAAGAGCCGAGGAGACCCCAAGAAGCCTCAGGAGGCCCCAGGAGGCCTCAGGAGAAACCCCAGCGAAGCACAGGAAGCCCCAGGAAGCTTCAGGAGGGCCCAGGAAGCCCCAGGTAATTCCAGGAGGCTTCGGGAAGCCCTAGGAAGTGTCAGGAAGCCCCCGGGGAACTCCAGGAAGCCCCAGGATGCCTCAGGAGGCTCCAGGGAGATCCACGAGGCCCCGGGGAAGCCCCGGGAAGCCACAGGATGTCCCATGAGACCCTGGTGGCGCTCGACGAATTGGCTAGCAACAAATGTGCGCTGCGCCCTAGCGGGAGCGCAACTTTCAGAAAACATGCGCGCGGCGCCGAAGCGAGAGCGACATTTCGCCCTGTCGCGCGCGATGTGCACCGCGGCCCCTTCCCGCCACGCATTTCGCAAAGCCGACGACAAGAAAATCCCCACTGAGAAACAACATGTCGACTCTGTATGGTTTTTGACAGGTAGGATGGGCCCTCCCGCTTGGGGTTGCCACAGACGTCCGCGCTCGATGTGCGCCGCGTCCCATTCCTGCTACGCATTTCGCATCGTCGACGACAAGAACGGCCATGTTGAGAGAAACAGCGACGACTTTGTGTGACTTTTTACAAGTCGGATGGGAGGGCCCGGATTGACGGCCGCGCGCGATGTGCGCCGCGTCCTATTCCTGCTATGCATGTCGCATCGTCGGCGACAAGAAAGGCCATGTTGAGAGAAACAACGACGACCTTGTATTGTTTTTTTACAATTCGGATGGGAGGGCCCAGATAGAACCCCTATCGGCCGGCCAGAGGGGGGAGTAAGAGCAGATTCCAATTAGGAATAAGGATATGAGGACGGGGAGGAGGAGGACGACGAGGCGGAAAAGGAAAGGGAGGAGGATGAGTATCAGGAGGAGGAGGAGGAGGAGGAGGAAAAGATAAGGGAGGAGGAGGAGGAGGGAATCGCGCCTCGGTCTGAGATCGCCCAGGCCGCGAGAGGGCGCGAGGCGCGAAGCGCGCAACTCTAAAGTCGCGCCCTCGCGGTGGCGCCCGGGGTCCCCAGAGCGGTGCGGCGACAGGCCGTGCGGTACCCTCGCGAGCTCCCAGGGGTCAAGAACAGAGAAGAGAACATCAACCCCCAGAGTAATCACCATAAGAATCACCCCCACGAGCGAGGCCGTTCAGTAATCGCACCCAGGGGATGAGTCGAACAGGGCAGGGCGGTTTAGTAAACGCTCAGGGCCAATTAGTAAACCCCAATTGTCGGGCCCGGGCGGTTCTTCCTCCTTTGAAAAGAAGACAGCTCACGGAAGCTCGTCGTCGTTCCCGTGGCGCCCAATCGCGCGCAGTGCGGACATGATGCATCGCCCTCGCGTGGCGCTGTGGAGCGCCATTGGGAGCTACCTGATCGCTATATCTAGCAGATCTCGAAGATGATGTCGTCGCCTTCGTGGCCTCGCAGTAGCTTGCCTGCAACTTTCGTTCTTCAGAGGGGCGTGCTCCCCTGCACACTTTCCAGCGCCGTCTCCACTTGTGGGGCGCGTGAGGGCTCCGCACGCGATCGCACCTTGCCTTGGAGGTCCCAAACGCCCGAGGCATACTCGGAGAATTGAGCAGGGACCGACCGTCCGGGCAGTCCAGTAGGCCTACCACGAAATTTTCTTAGAACCCACACAATGTTCTAAGAACAAGAACAATGTTCTGAGAGCATGAACCCACTGCGTGAAAACAAGACAGTCTCAACCAAAGCTGTTCCAAGAGCAATCCGTGCAGACAACAAAAAGTTCTTAGACCATGATTTGGTAGGCCTATAGGCGAGCCAAGACGCTTCGCCACTGCTTGAGAGAAAAACCCAAGTCCCAAAACCGTGCGGTCGCCCCAGATCGCCCGCCACTGACCCACCACGCGATGTGATCACCGCACATTCGTCGGCGCGAAGGTCGGGGTCCAGAACCCGGGGCTCAAGGGGGCCCTGGGACACACACATACATACACACATAAATCCCAGGATTCCCCATATTTTCCCGGATTTGGTTTTAGGTGTTCGTCCTCCCCCCACTTCCATATTTTCCCATCTCTTCCTGGGGGTCGACGATTAATTGTGGCTGTGTGTTTCTGTTCCCCTGAGGGGTGCTCTCTGGGCCTGCCTGGAAGCCTCCAGGATGGGGTGCGAGCACCTGAGGCCAGAGGAGCGCGCCACAGCGCCAATGCTTAAGTCGGGCGTATTCTCCTACAGGGGTTATGTTCGATGGAAAATTTTTAGAAATATCAAAAATGCACCAAAATTATCAGAAACACATGCAAAAATAGCCCCCAGACTATTTTCTTACTATTTTTGCATGCTCCCCCTGTAGAGGGACAAACCCGACTTAAGCCAATGCCTCCCCGACATATCGGCCATGCATCGGCGACGCCGGCGACATCGGCGCCGTCGGCTCGGAGAACCTGGGGCTCCACATCGAGCCGCATCGCCGAGGCATGGGGAATGCGGCGCGATCCTCCGACCCCGTCTACTCCGACTCCACATTCTTTGGTGGATCTCCATGGGAAAATCAACAGGTACCGATACCGCTACTTCCCTGACTTCCCCTGTGGTGCGTTCTGACAAGAACTTTGCGGCGAATTCAGCGGTGGCGACGAGTGCCTCCCGAGATAGGCCCGACAAAAGGCAAAACGAAGGAAGGGTAGCGGCGTGGGTATCTCTTCCTCCTCTGACATCTGCTCCGACCCCATCTGATCGACGATCAGAAACGTGCCTTACGCGACATGACGTAGCGACATTACGCCACAGCTTCCGCGGGCCTACAAGCGGTGGCGACGAGGGCCTCCCAGGAGTCGAGCAGGGGATCGAATACAGAATCGATTCACCCCACAATTGCTTTTCCCACCGAATCTGCGAAACAGATGCGTCGAACGTCCCGTAGATCTACGAACCCTCTAAATGTTTCTTGCGCACTCGGCTGGAATATCCGCTCTGGGGTACAGCAATTCTGCAGTTGCTCCCCTACTCGAAAGAGGTCCGAGGTCCGAGAAGAGGCAAGCGAGGGAAAGGGTGCGGCGCGATCCTCCGACCCCGTCTGCTCTGGCCCCACTTCGGATACGCACTGACCCGGGCCAATGCAGAACAGGGTCAGCCAGGCTTGCAGGATCCTGCAATGACCTGCAAAAGATCCTGCAGGGCAGGATCCTGCGCCCAGACCCGGGTCAGTGGACCCCTGGCTCTGCAGGATCCTGCAACATCCAGCGCTCTGGCTGACCCCCGTTTGCACTGGCCCCCGTCCCTCGAGCCCCGACCACTGGGGAAGCCTGGGCTCCGAGTGGGCCCTCGCGGCTCCTGCCAGGGTGTGCCCCCCTGGTGGGCCGACTACTGCTGTGCTCGGGCAAGAAGGGGGAGCAGCATGCGCTGCAGTGGGGGCCCGACCAGAAGAAACCTGCCACAAGAAACCCGACCCTGAGATCCCAGGACGTCCATTGATGTTTGGTGGGGGAACGTCACGCTTTCCATGGCAAAACCGTCGAAACCCAAGAGACCCAGGGCACCCTGGAGGCAAGCAGGGTGTTTCTCGGCATGGGCCTCCACTGTAACCCGAGTAGGGGATCGACTACAAAATGGATTGACCCAAAACTTGAAACTGCCGTTGGAATGAAGGGCAAACATGTAGAATGCTCGTAGATGTCCGAACACATGCGGCTTCGGCGTGCTGTGAGCCATCCTCCGCCCACAACCTGTCGGGACACAGTAATGCCCGAACCGGGGAGCAGCATGATGATGCATGCGACGATGTCTGGCCTTTTTTCACCGTAGGCGGCGTGCCCAGAAGGATCCGCACCCTGAGGCGCAGAAAAAAAAACAGGGAGTGGCGGGTGGGAAACTCACCAGGTGCTTTCGCCAAATGGCCACAGATATTAATGATACAGGGGTTTGATGAAACTTGGCGGATGCAGTGTTTCTGGCCAGTTAAAAAACTGTCCAGAAACCCGAGGAAAATTGGCGGACGCAGCGTTCGCTGGAGACCAGAGGCGCAACGGACAAACCCCAAACAGAGCAGGCACACCGAGCCGACCCCCGCGGGGCAGAAGCGCAGGAATCTTCACACCCGCGCCACCAGGAAAAGGGATCCACGCGGCGAGGGCGCAGCAGCGCGTTCCAGCAAAGCGCTTCCGGAACACGCAGGTGCGAGGACGCACCAGCGCGTTCTGGCAAAGCGCTTCCGGAACACGCTGACGAGCGTGCTCCGGCGGAGCGCTCCCGGAACACATTCCCAAGGCCAAGCCTCAGATCCCACGGAAGGCAGCAAGCCGTTGGCTCTGTCACACTCGGATGCATCCTGCAGTTCACAGACAACCGAGAAAAACATGCGGATGCAAGGTTTCTGGCCCACTAAAGGAATGGTCCAGAAACCCGAAGAGACTTGGCGGATGCAGTGTTTCTGGCCTGCTCTTGGAATGGTTCAGAAACCCGAGGAAACTAGGCGGACGCAGAGCTTCTGGCCAGCAACTAAAAGGTCCAGAAACCCGAGGAAGCTTGGCGGATGCTGTCTCTCTGGTGTACATGCAGCCAATGCGTCTCCAAGGTGGGGGGTCCGAACACCTAGGGTTCCCCAAGGATGCGCGCCAGCCTCGGGAAACAACAAGACCCCGAAGGCCCGCCCGACCGCCCAGACAGCACGCCCCGGCCTCTATGTGCCTCGTCCCCTGCGGGGTCCCACCATCATGAGGTTGTCTCCAAGCTCAAAAAATTGAGGATGCTTCACTGTTGTAGTCGCTCCCCTACTCGAAGGGAGGGCGGACGCGGACGACGTCTTCGTTCGAGGGGGGCGGGGGCCTGGCCGGGCCCCGAGGGGGCGATCCGCGGGGACCTCCGAAGGTTTCTGTTTATGACGCTGTCCTTCTTCGAGGTATCCGCATCTGAGCACCGTCTAACCGATCTCTGTCCCCACTGGCCTAGCCTAGGCCCCGGTGGCCGATGTCTCCCCCTAGATGATCGGGGCATCGTAACCTTCTCCGCGCACCGAGGAGCATGTCCCCAGACTGGGGTGGTTGGATGGTGGAGCTCGGCCTGGCTATGGTGATGGGCATGGGGATCGATGCAACGACACTGGGCACCTTCTCCTTCGCTGCTCGCGCGAGCCTTGAACAAGGACTGACCGTCTCGGCATTCCTACCTAGTCCTACAAGTGTCCTTAAAACCAACACATGTTCTGATCAGACAAACCGTGTTCTTAGAACATCCAGCCGATGTGCCAAACACGAGACGGTCTCAGACAACAATGCTCTGATAACCTTGGGCACCAACAACCACAACATGGATTAGAGCATTATTTGGTGGGCCTATAAATGAACGTGTTCTTATCCAGCGTTTCGACATTGGGGAGAAGAAGCGGGGGGGGGTGAGCGGAAGGGCGGGGGTCTGGCTCTGGACCTCTGCCTAGCGCGACTGCTTGCAACCGTGCGTCCGATGGGGGAAACTCCACCAGCTCGAAACAGCCGCCGAAAGCAGCCAAGATCTACTCTATGGATTTTTTGGATTGCGCTGCTGATGAAGCGTATGGCCTGTCAGCTGATGGCGGCGCTGCGGCTAGCAGAGGCGGTCAGCACAGTCAACTCGTGTGGCTATGCTAAACGGCGAGGCTCGCAAACTCTGCACGGGCACCAAGTCTACAAGTACAGTACAGTACGAGGGGACCCCCGCGACAGAGCGGACTACTCCATGGAGGCGGGGAGGGGGGGGAGGGGGCGAGAGCCCGCGCCGATCGGCAGACCAAGGAGTGAGAACACGATCGCCACGCAGGCCAGGGCGCTTCGCCACCGCTCGACGGCCGCCCGCCGAGGCCCCCGAGGACGATGGCGGCCACGGCGACGGCGACGGCGACGGCGACGACGACGACGGCGACCCGCGAGGCCTTGCGGCCCGCAGCCGTCCACGAGCCGCGCGTGCGCGCCCGCCGCGGCCTGGCCCATGGCCCTCCGCAGGCGCGGCCCCCGAGGGCGCCTTCGCGCGGGCGCCTGGGCCTCGGCCTCGTCGCCGTCGTCGTCGACGGCTTCGTCGTCGTCCTCGTTGTCCTCGTCGTCGTCGTCGTCGTCGTCGTCGTCGTCCTCGTCGTCGGGGTCGGAGTCGTCGTCGTCGGTGTCGGCGTCGGCGTCGGAGTCGTCGTCGTCCTCGTCGTCGTCGTCGTCGCCGTCCTCGTTGTCGTCGTCGTTTGTGTCGTCGTAGTCGTCCGCGTCGTCGTCGGCGCCCGCTCGAGCGAGGCGCAGCGGGCGCTCGCTCCGGCGGGCAACGGAGCCGCGCCCCTGCAGGCGCGGGGGGTCTTTCATTGATGACAAATTGGGGGCGGGACCGCCGCAGAGGCCGGCGGTGATCGATCAAGGTCTGCACGGCAGGTTCGTCCTGACGGCCCTGGCGTTGCCATCTGACACCGCGTGGATCGCTCAGCCTGGAAGGATCGGCGGCTCTCCGATCGCCAGATCGCTCCACATTGGCCGATTCCGGGCCGCCCGCGGCGCTCGGCCTTGAGCACGCTCGCGACGGGGTCGCGGCAAGACGCCACGGCGCGAACCTGCCGCTCGTATGGAGGGGCCCAGGGGCACACAAACAGATAGACACGGCTCCCAAGATTCCCCACACCTTCCATACTTCCTGGATGCTCCTTCTTCCCGCCACTTCCCATATTATTGCATATGTCCAAGAATATCGGCAATTAGTTGTGCCTGTGTGCTTGATTCCCGCCGGAACTCATGGAGCCACTCACTGAAACTTCTGGTCGTGCCCATGGCGCCCAGTGGCGCGCCCAATCGCGCGCAAAGCGGACATGGCGCTATTTGGCCCAACAGCGCCCAATAGCGCGCCCAATCGCGCCCAAACGACTGCATCTCCCTCACATGGAACTATTGGGCGATACCGGGCGGTATTGGGCGCTGTTTGACCACAAGTCGGTGCTACTGGGCGCCACTGGCCGCTATTGAAAGCTCTTGGAAACCAATCGCCGATAAACACACATATATGCATGTCTATATATAAACATGTATGTGCATATACACATGTATGTGCAATCTCAGGCAAACGGCAAACCGAACCTTTGGCGATTCACGGTCGAACTGCCCTGCATGAAGATGGTACTCGATGCGGCCCGAGTCCGATCTGTTCAAGCACCACCGCCCACTGTCGCGACGACTCGACACATAAAAAATACGGAAAGTACGGCTCACGCGGCGCCACTCTGAGCAAACATGGTCACGGAGACATGTCTCCACTGAGGAGGAGAAGGAGAAGGAGAAGGAGGAGGAGGGAGGAGGGCGGACGAGGAGGGGGAGGGAGGAGAAGAGGAGGACCTTGTCAACGCACTTCAAGAGAGCGCAAACACGCTCGCCCAGACGGCTGTCCCCGGAGACCACGTGAAGCCTCGCGAACCCGACCTCGAGGGGGTGTCAACCCTGGCACGGCGGTGATGGGGAGGAGGAGGAGGAGGAGGAGGAGGAGGATGATGAGGAGGAGGTGGAGGTGATGGGGGAGGAGGAGGAGGAGGAGGAGGATGAGGAGGAGGAATAAGAGGGGGACGAGGTAGAAGGAGGACGGAGGAGGGAGGAGGAGGAGGAGGAGGAGGAGAGCATAGGAAGGCTGCTGGCGGGGCGCCAGCGAGAGAGGGTGCGCCAGCGAGAGAGGGGTCAGCCAGCGAGAGAGGGTCAGCCGACTGGTGTAAAGGAGTGTCGCCAGAGGAGGCCAGGGGGAGTCCGCTCTGGACAAGCGGCGATGGAGAAAGACAGATACAACACGCACGAGACTCAATGTGGACAAACTCCGCAACCGTGTCGTAGAATGATGCTTCCGCAGGCCCCTTCGAATTATCTTCGCATTGACAGTTGTGAAACTCCTTTAAGGGGTCCAAGCCCTCAAGTGCAAAAAGATCCTTGTTGATGACGCGCGACCTGCTTGGAGGAAACAATAATCGAACGACTGTGTGATCTTCGAACATCCTGGCCCCGAGAAGCCCCATGAGCTCGCCCGTGTCAGGATTGGCCCCGCAATCGCCATGAGGCCCCCGCTGGACGGCCCGAGAGCACACAAAGACGGCCCAAGAAAGCCCCAAAGTGGCCCAAAAGGCCCCCAAGTGATTCCTCCTCCTCCTCCTCCTCCTCCTCCTCCTCCTCCTCCTCCCCCTCCTCCTCCTCCTCCCCCTCCTCCTCCTCCTCCGCCACCTCCTCCTCCTCCTCATTCTCCCCCTCGTCGTCCTCCTCCTCCTCTTCCGCCTCCTCCTCCTCCTCCTCCGCCTCCTCCTCCTACTCCTCCTCCTCCCCCTCGTCGTCGTCCTCCTCCTCCTCCTCCTCCTCCTCCTCCGCCTCCTCTCTGCTCCTCCTCTCTGTTGCTCCTCCTCCTCCTCCTCCTCCCCTCCTCCTCCTCCTCCACACCCCCCCTCCTCCCCCATCACCTCCTCCTCCTCCTCCTCTCCTCCTCCTCCTCCTCCTCCTCCTCCTCCTCCTCCTCCTCCTCCTCCTACTCCTTCCCCACAAGAGCCCCGAAGTGATCTCAGAGGGCCCCTCCCCCATGATGCCCGCTCGAGAGGCCAACAGACGTGCGTTTTTCAAAGGAACAGTGGAGGCTGACAACAAGAAACCTTCCACAACCCCAGGACGTCCATCGATGCACGAAACCAAGAGCACCCCGGAGGCAAGCAGGGTGTTTCTTGGCAAGCATCGGCCTCCAAGTAACGGGCGGCGGTGGCTCGGCGTAGGCGTCTTCGAGACAGCACATCCTTGTACAGCTGTTCGAGCCCGTCGCCGTTTGTTTCCGAGCCTGGTACGGTGCTAGTATTGCCAGCTTGAAACAGGCGCGCATGTCTCGTTTGAGAAGACGCCGTTGCTCGGTCGCTGGCGCATTCTGATTATGACGTTCTGGTCGGATCTGTCCTGTTCGATCCACATATGGCTTATTCCTACGATCACCCTCGAGTCGGGTCGTAGATGTGTTTCACTGTACCCAACAAATTATAGTCAATTACGCTTCCTTATAATACAAGGCTGCATTATGTTATGTTCTGGACGGGCCGGCGTTACCTCATCAGACCTGTCACGTTTGCTAGGTCTTCCAATCGGTCGCTGCTGCTCCATTTGTTTCTGTGGCCAATCTGACATCGGCGCGCGCGTCGCGTTTGATAGAGCACCGTTACTCGGTCCCGAACTTTCACTTTCCAATCAGATTCAGCAATATCCGGTTCACAGTTTCTCGTATATGTGAAATAAGATGCTATGATATGTTCTTGTGCGTGCCGTCACGCACTGGTCTCGACCCGTGCCCTTGCATGCTTTACTTGTCAAGCACACTTTGGTATGATAATATGATCACAGCTATGATGCGCTATGGTTATGAGTGCTCGGATGGATTACTCCCTGGCAAATTCTAAGCATGGTCCTCCACGGCATTCTGAGGTTACACGCGTCTCTGCATTACTATTGGCCGTGCTACCATTACGGACTATGGTATTGCGCACTTACCAGATTAATGTGCTACCGGTATGCGATGTCTTACACCAGGCTTCGCAATTCGATGATATTGCCGACTGCTACATGTATGGCGGGTGCTGCTTGTTTAATGTTGGTCTGACGTTTTCTGCCATGCGTCCTTGAACCAACTGATCTCCTTATCACGGGTCTGGGACATGTTGCTTAACATGCTGCTATACTACAAGCTGGTCCGCTCTGCTGAGCTACATGCAATTGTTCTTTTGCGTTGAAATAGGATGCGATATGCAATGTAACGGTGTTATGGTTGGGTTGTGTTACGCACGAGTCGGTTATAAAAACGTCGTTGCCATAGTGGTAGTCATCGCAGAACAGCTATGATATCGCATGTTGAGTAATGCTACGCTTTGCTATGCGAAGCCCCGCGCTGCCACCGAATAATGTGGAGCAACAACGTATGCCTGGGCACGTGGACGTGTGGTACGTTAGACTGTGCTATACCATGACCTGTCCTTGCTGTTTCCAACTATGGTATACTACGCTGCGTTATCGAATGAAACGCTGACCATATCGTGCCTGTGCCGTGTACATGTTATGATCGTTTACGCTCAATCATACACGCTACTGCCGTGATAGCCACTCAATGAAATGCCTGCATCGCGTGCTATATATATAGAGGCTACATTGTACTCTGACATGCCCAGCTCAATCAAACTATGTCGTGTGATGTTCTGGCATGTTATGGTGCGGGAAGATGAGATACGTATTATATGTGTTATTATGGTATGGCATGCTCTGCTCTAGAATATTATCTTACGCTGCGTGGTGCTATGCGCTGTTCCCTGCATACTCTTATGCGATGTCGGTTTAGCACTAGCCTATGTCGATGCCATATGATTTGAATGATCCAATGCACGCGTTGTCATAATGGTCTCAAATGTGATACTCATGTTACGTAATGGTGTGTTCGTGGAGGTCTACTACGTTATGGCCCGATGCGGTATGTTATGTGTTGTTCTGTTATGGTGTAGTATGCCAGGCAACGCCATGCTTATATGCGCTAATCAGCCATGCTATGGTAGACAATGGTATGGTATGGCATGTATATGTATGTGTGTTAGGTTGTCGTGTGGTCATTATCATGCGGAATGGTATGGTATACTCCTCTATGCTCTGTTATGGATAACATGGTTGCTGTAATGTATGTAGCCAACTGTGCTGTTATTGATGACTGTTATTCATGCCTGTTTGCTCGTGACGCCTGTGCGACGTGATGCCGTGAGGCCTCCCCCATCGGTGGTGTCTGGTGTGCTGGGTGTCATCACTCGTTAAGGACGCGAGGCGGGATACTCAAGGAACAACTGGGATCCCGTGGGGCCTGGAGAAATGCGGTATGGTATCGTTATTCGTCGAGGCCGCGAGGCGGGATGCTCGGGGACCGCTGGGATCCTGTGGGGCCTGCCGACCGCGGCATGCAGCGTGGGCAAACAGAAATCCCACCAGCCCTT